CTTAGAGAGGCCTGAAAGGCCTATGAAGCGGTATATAAGTCTACTGCTATTGCTATTGCTATCTGGATCCACATGGCCATACGCTTGTTTCAGTTTGTATAAGCTCTGCCTCCAAACATACAACAAAGTTAGTTAAACATTTTGCTACCTGAAATACCTTTCTTAAGAAGCCTATTCTCTCCAATGTTTCATAGTTGAATCCTGGATTTAATTGTACTCTGTGCCAGCATCTTCCCTTCAATAAGTTTTATGATATTGGAATATATGAATACGTGACAGCAAGTATTCCCAGCACCACTTTTTATCTATCCTTATTTTCACATTTGGCTTTGGCACTACAGATTCCAGTGATGAGGATGGACCAAGGCCCTCCAGTAAAAGGAAGTGCCTGCGAATTGAGGAAGATGAGGACTGAGGGAATCAAAAATGTCTCTCTTAGCGTGTCAATGAGACCAGTGAAACCAGTCACCTCAAAAACTGGAATGGGCAAGATGGAGAACCATCAGCATCCTCAGATCCTCTGTGCAGAACAGTGAAAATATTAGGGAAAGAATACAGAAACTGAACTTCTATATAATTATTAAAAATCTGTATGATCACCAATGTGGAGGGAGTAGAATAAGAAAAAGAGCTCCTAACTTCTGTTCTATGGTTAGCTACAATTGTTGTTAAAGCTATTGTGACAGTCAGCCTTCAAACTGTTCCAGGTTTGTATATAACTGTTGTTGGTTGCCTGCCCGCCCTTGCATAGCTGGCCTTCCTTGGTATTGTTTGCTTAGAGCCACTAAGAATCACCCTTACCAGCTAGATTGCCAAAAAAGAAAGGGGGGGGCATACTCGTTTTTCACAGTGTTTGATTTGTTTGTGGATCTGCCTCTTGTGTCTCTGGTTTAGCTAGGATATCATGAGCATATATGTCACATTTTGCCTTAATTACCTGAACACATCAATATTGGTTTCTGCTGTTTATTTTTTTTTCTGTTCGTGAATTTCCTTCTCAGAAAAAAAGGAACCAAAAGTAGGCCATCAGAAAGCCTTGCTAAAAATACGACAGTGATGAGATGATGATACAAGATATATTAAAGATGTAATTGTAATGATCTATGGTATTTCTGCCTTGCCTCCTTTGGTAGGAGTTGTTTTCACATTGGATCCTTCTGAAATCTGCCCAGTGTCAGCTGGATGATGTATGACAATTGTGGATATTTGTGCATGTCTTTGTTGTATTTTTGATAAATATTTTTAAAAAGGAACATCGATTGAGTCTAAAAAATAAAATATAAAATATGAGATTTCTCTGCCTTTGTCCTGCATGACTACTTAAAACATCCAGAAGATCTGAGAGCTTGCCAGACATGGAGAATCTTGTGAAGGATTATCCTACTGATGTTTCTATTTTGCTTTCAATAGAAACGGGATGATTGTAGTAATTTCTAGTATTTTCAGGTTCAAATTGTGTAGGTGGGAGGGGTTGTCCTCATTGCAATTGGGAGCATTACTCCCTACGTATGGAACAAGTATGAGGAGACAATTGTTGTCATTATGCCTTTTTCTAAGCCCACCTATGTTCCTTAAATTGGATTTGTTTTATCCCCAGTTCAATTAGCCCCTCTCAGTAAAACTGGCAAGGCAATTATGGATTAGCAGGCATACTGTCATTGGCACTGAAACTAAGAAACTGTTCCTCACACACCCATCCCATGCCCGATATCCCATGCTTCTTTTTCTGTGGAGCGAAGCTAACTGTGAGACCTTTACCCTTTACCTTTACTGTGAGGTGTGAAACATAAAACTATAGAAAGTTGTTTAATTTGGGGTCCCTTCAGTTTCCAGGGAGTTCAGGGACATTCATTTTTATAGCTGACCTCCGCATGCACACGAATAAATATATAAACCGAACTGCCACAGTCCGAGTATTGGCTCTCTCTGGTGTTAATTTATTAAAATAGAGTTACTCGAATTAAAGCAACAAAAGTCTCTTCTAGATTCCAGGTTGTGCCGGATGTTGAAACGGTCCCATGCTATGTCACATGGAAGTTTGCTGCTGAGGCAAAACAACAGCCTCTTTGCTGAGGTTTCTGATTACAGGTAGTCCTAGACTTAAAGACCACAATTGAGCCCAAAATTTGTTTTGTTAAGTGAGTTTTATCTCATTTTACGACTTTTCTTGCCATATTTGTTAAGTGAATCACTGCAGTTTTTTAATTAGAAACACGGTTGTTAAATGAATCTTCCCCATTGACTTTGGGTGTCAGTAGGTCGCCAAAGGGGATAATGTGACCCCGGGATGCGGCAACAGTCATAAGTATGAACCAGTTGCCACGCATCTGAATTTTGATCACACAATGACGGGATGCTGCATCAGTTGTAAGTCTGAAAAATGGTTATAAGTGGCTTGTTTCAGTGCCACCGTAACTTTGAACAGTCACTAAATGAATTGCTGTAAGTCGAGAACTACCTGCGTTGAATGCACACATTGCATAAGTCACTACAGGTGGCAATTCATGTCCTGAATCCCAAATGCAACGACAGTATGATACATCAATTTTAAGATGGGAGAGGTTGGAAGAGAAGGGTGGCCGGA